AAAAAAGGAAAAAAAAAAAAAAAAAAAAAAAGAACTTGTAGAACACCAAAAAGAAGAAAGAAATAAAAGGAACCCAGCCACCAATCCAAAACTCACTTGAGGTCCTTCATTCATCTTATAACTCTTTCCAACCAAAACTCTAGTTATTAGGAAAGTGTGATAAAGATGATAAAAGCCTTCACCTTTCCCAAGGCAATGGTCTCAAGGGGCTCTACACCAAGTCTTGTACAATGCTTAAACTGTAAACTTAGTTACAGGAAGTGACTTGGTTGGATGATTATGTGCCGACTTTACTCACAACAAAGTCAAGTGAAGAATGATGCTATACACAAACTGGTATAAAATTGTGACTTGGTTGGATTCCTTGTGGGATCTTGTCTGGTATAAAATTTAATTCTATACCAACATAATTTCCTTGTGGGATCTTGTAGTGGAAAAGGTTTTTAAATGAAATGGCTGTTGTCTGGTATAAAATTTAATTCTATACTAACATAGCTACAAAACAAAGGCCGAAGGCTGCCTTGCTATCTGGGTTTTATTTTTTTGGTGCTTAAATTGTATTTCATATTTTATCATATTGTCAAGAAAGTCTTGTAAGTTTTCTTATTCCATATTTGTGATTAATTTAGAATGAAAATTTTAAAAAGTGAATTGCAATATACACAAGGATTTAAAAAACCAAAATCTCATTTATGTTTTGGTTTCAATCCTAACTGGATAAAAGGGAATACACCCCTGCAGACATTGATTATCCGTGAATAGGCTTTACCATGCAGTAGTCTGTCAGAAGTCTTATTATGATGTTTGTCAGGTTTCAATTCAAGTTCTAGTTCTCTTTAGGTATTGTGGTTCAAACGGGATCAAGCTCTGCTGTACATTAATCAGGCTTCATATCTACTCTATATTTCTAAGTTACCACTTTGGCATCAAATTTCGACCGAGGATTTGTTATACTTTGTAGTCATTGTTTTCTGCAGGGTTCTTTACCAATCTACTCGAGCTGGATTGCTGTGAGTGTGGTTGACAATGTGTTGCTTGTCCATCAAGTAGATGCAAAAGTAGTAATTCTGTATGACATTTTTGCTGATTCGAGGGCGCCCATATCTGCCCCTCTTCCGTTCTTGCTGAGGGGTTTTCCTCGACCCAATATTGATGTCCGAAGTAGTAAGCAAGATAGTGCCAGTTTAGAAGCTGATCAACCTGATGAAGCAATTGTCTATGGGGATGGTTGGAAATTTCTTGTCCCTGACCTGATTTGTGATCACGTCAACAAATTAGTGTGGAAGATACATATTGACTTAGAGGTTGGGTTGAATTTATTTTATTATTTATTATTTATTAGTATTATTATCTTTTCTCCCCTTTCTAAAAAATTTTAGGCACTGAAGTTCTTTTTTTGTGGCAGGCAATCGCTTCCAGTAGCTCAGAAGTGTCATCACTTCTAGAATTCTTGCAGCGACGGAAATTGGAGGTTAGCAAGGTAGAGCTTTAATTTCATGATTGGGTCTGAGGATTTGTACTTCAAATACAAGAGTTCCTTTTTGTTCTGAATTGTTTCCCTTTTTTCCCCCATAAGAAACTTCACAACTTCTATAAACAACCAGAAGAGAGAACAGTCTTAACGGCTGGGGTAGAGGCTAACCCCCTCCTAAAAAAAAAAAGAAAAAAACACATCAAAACAGCTCTCTAGTCGATATTTATGGGTTTAGGGTTTAGCGTTTAGCATTTAGGGCTTTTTAGCAATATCCACCCGAGGCCTTCCTTTGGCTGATTCATTAGTTGCCTTTGGTAACAAGCTGGACTCCCTTTTACCATAGTTAGGTAGCTTCCATGGTTTTCCTTCATAGATTGTCTTCCTCTCAAGCGTATCTCCATAGCCACTTTATCAAAACGGGTCGAGTTCTGCTTTAGAAACCCGACCCCCAAACCTCCAAGCTGAGTGGGAAGAGAGGATCAGTCCCAATTCACTAGATTATTTACAGGCTTATAGGAACCACCAGACTGAATAAAAACTCTCATGAAAAAATTATGCTCTTGGTTGATAAACGATAATAATGTAAATATCACAAACACCAATAGTAACCTTTATTGATAATATAAAAAGGTATCACATCTCACTTCAGACATTCAAGAGGTCTGAAATCTCTCCCAAAACCCCAAATAATTTCAAGACGATTTCTTTCTCATTTCTTTGGTTGTTAAGTACTTATATTCACGTACTTATATTCACAACTGAGCAACTCCCTCTTAAGAATAAGACTTAACACAAACCATTTCTCTCTTTCATCTACCCATACCCTGAGCAGACACTGCCTTCCCTTTACTGGTTTTTTTTCTCCTAATGTAGGTTCATATGGTGTGCTGGCTATCAGTATGTTGTGGCTCTCAAGTTTTTTTGGTGCATGTAACTAGTATTTCTTTGCTTGATCGATTAAATAATTCCTGCTAATCTTCAGGCTAAGCAGCTGTGCTTGACCTTGACAAGAACTATGATTCTGGAGCACAGGCCGGTGGCCGCTGTTGCTAAGGCTATAGATGTTCTAGTCTCATCATATACCCTCTCAAGCAAAGTAGGTCCCAGCGTCAAAGAATCAAAAACTGACAGGTCGCAGTCAGTTGTGCCTCAAGTTAGTGGTTCTGGCCCTGTACCTGGTGGTAATAACCGTGATTCAACTGCTGGAATGGAAAGTGAAGCTCCTCACAGAACTTCAATATTTCCGTCTTCAGATTCTGAGGGGAATGCTGATGTTGATCAACTAAATACAGGAAACCATCAGTCTATAGTTGACCAGGAAAGATGGAGAGGCACAATAAATTCTACTGACATTCAGGCATCATCTTCACAATACCAACATCTTGGACCAGGATGTAACCGGTTGAATGACGATGTATCTGATGAAGGGTCTCTGGTTTTGTCGCCAGCTATCTCACCTGATGAGATGTACAGCTTTGTGTTCGCTCCCATTGAGGAAGAGATAGTAGGAGATCCTTCTTACTTGCTGGCCATAATTATCGAGTTCCTCCACCGGTATGCTATATTCTTTCAATTTAAAAGTGATTTGAACTCGCTAGTAGAAACAGCTAAATGGGCTGCATTCTGATTGCAGCATGCCAGTTTCTCACACACGTTCAATATGATATGATTGTGCGTTCAAAAGTTTATCTTCATTCTGCATTCTTTTTAAAGTAGTGCTAGCAGCTTGATCATTTCTTCGTTTAACTCTTTGTTGATACTTGCTGTGATAGAGAAATATAGCCTATGCATGGAGAAGCTCTAATTATAGGTTTCAAGAAATATAGCCTTGATCACTGCTTTATATTCTTGCGTCAACCATAAGCTATCTTCATTTGGTTTCATGATTATTCTACTCTTTCTCCCATTCGTAGGATTAATATGGAAAAGATCAAAGTAAACCCAAACATCTATGTTTTGACTATCCAAATTTTGGCTCGCAATGAACGATACACAGAAATTGGATTATTTGTGCAGCAAAAGGTATTGAATCTTTTCTTACATGGTATTGCAGCAAAATGAAATTCTGGCCCTAGAAGTGAGAGTGCCACAAATGAATATATTGGTTAGAGGTATTTTTTTCTTTTAACAGATTCTAGAACCTTCTAAAGAGGTTGCTTTGCAATTGCTGGAGTCTGGTCGCCATAATCTTCAGACAAGGAAACTGGGTCTAGATATGCTCAGACAGCTTTCTCTACATCATGATTATGTGTCTCTGCTCGTGCAGGATGGATATTACCTTGAAGCATTGCGTTACGCTCGTAAGTTTAAGGTAATTTCTTCGATATCTCAAAAAATGCCGAGCCTTCATTATGCTTGTGCAGTGGGATTTGGTCCATTTAAATGTGGAGTGTGTATAGAGATTTGAACCTTCAGTCTTTAGAAAAGAAGTATATCTCAATTACCGCAGAGTTATTTTCATGTTGGTGATTTAGTCTATATTTTGAACACCTCTATTGGTTTTGGAATGACTTTCCGAAAATGTGATGCAGGTTGACACTGTCCGGCCCTCGTTGTTTCTTCAAGCTGCTTTTGCGACCAACGACTCGCAACATTTGGCAGCAGTTTTGAGATTCCTGTCAGATTTAACTCCTGGTTTCAAAAACACCTCAGATTACAGTAGGTACCATCACATTCTAACTGAAATGAGCTCTGGTGCTTCTGCTTGAGATTTTCGAGAACTAGTCGTCATAGGGATCGAGCAGCGAATGTCGAGGAAGCTGTAGGCCTTTTTGAGATGGAAATGTCTGATGTTGGTATCAACAACCTGAGATATAGGTGAAGTAGTGAAGATGGTGGAAAATGGGCACCCCCTCCCCACAAGAAAGGGACGAAAATAATTAAGTTGACTACGATTTACTGTGATGATACTAAATAGCTTTGCTACGTCTAAAAAAATTGAAAGTAGGTTGCGTTCGTCACCCTCATCTCTATCAGCCTGGCTCGCATCCCCTCCCGTAGGATTTCAAACCTTGCCTCGTTTGGTTCCTTCTTTTTCAAGTAAAGGGCGAGTCTCATGACCTTTTCATATTGAATCACACTCATCAACTTTACATGTTTATGGTTCATATTGTAATTTTTTGTTATTGTTATAATAGATGAACTGATAAATTCAACTTCTTCTTGCTTGTTTGTGTCTGGTATTTATGACCCACAAACATCAAAGTCAAAACTTAAAAAATAAAAAAGGAGTAATGAGTGGGTGTAGATGGACCACTAAATGAGTCAAATGACTCCAATAAGTGTGAAGTGAACATCATTTATGCATAAAGTTAACTTGATCTATCAATTCAAAATGGACCATCCTATTCAATTCCTCAAGTTATATGCATATATATATATATATATATATATATATATTTATTCGTTTTAAAACTATTTTAATTTAGATGACCTTTTATCGAACCATCTAACATTTTTTTTTATATATATTTCAAAGGTAATTTTTAACTATTTATGAAAGATGGATTGTAGTATTGCAACTTTCTTTAAAAGATTGAGTATTTTTTAAACAAAGGAAAATGTTTACTCAAACAAATGTGCATAAAACTATCCCAGATAAGGTCGGGATGAAAAGTATAGTCCCTGTTTCCCGTCTACAATCTAACATGAATAAATCTCTCATCCTTCTCTATTTGTCTAAATAGACCTGTCCTATTCAGAGCGGGTTTCGATAATAGAGAGAATTATAAAAGCAAGTAGTTCATCAATAATAAAGCAAGTAGTTCATCAATAATCAGCTTCGAAAACGGAAGATCTTTGAAATGAGATCTTTTTTGATCTTTGGAGTGTGAGGGCAAACCAAAAAACAAACCCCACAACATTCACTTTGATGAAATCGTGTTGTATTATTTTTCATCATCAGCTCGGACCACACTACAAAAAAACATCTTCTCACGAACATCAACTAAATGCTTTTAACTGTTCTAACGTTTATAAGCTAAACCTACTCCTTTGGGCCTCCATAGCTTGTATGTTTCCTTATTTATCCTCTTAATTTCAAGTAAAAAGACTATTTTAATCATCTCTAGCATACGTGTTTTAAAACCGTGAGGCTGATAACGGTATGTAACAGGTCAAAGTAGACAATAAAATAGTGAGGCTGATAACGATATGTAACAGGTCAAAGTGGACAACATCTATTAGCAGTGGGCTTGAGAGGTTACAAATGATATCAGAGTCAGACACCGTGTGTCAGCAAGGACGCTAGGTCTAGTAGATTCTAAGATACCACATCAATTGGAGAGAGAAACGAAACAGACACGTTCTAAAAGTGATAGAGAAAGCAGGAGAAAGATGTCATTTTCGAAAAGAAATAAAGGAAGAAAAGAGTTGAAGAATCAAAGGGTTTGATCAATAAATGATTGGCTCACAAAATGTAAAAGGAAACAGATTCAATTATTGAAGAATCCGTAGAGCTTCAGATTGCTTTTAACTTCTCAATAAATCTTATACCCATAATTGGTTTACATCTCCAACTGTGAAGCTCTGCCAATTCCACTTTCAACTTCTCATAAATACATTTTCCCCACCTTTTTTTAGTTTTTACCTAAATTTGATAGGCAGTACAGATCAGAGGGTTGCAGCTTATTACTGTTGTGGGGTTGTATGGATGAAATTGGTTCGACTTTCCCTGTTCGGAACCTTTCTCTTGAGAATTTTCGGTTTTCTCAAGCCTATTACTAACTGATATTGTCAGCTTTAACCTGTTATGTATCGTCGTTAGCCTCACGGTTTGTTAGGGAGAGGTTTCCACATATTTATAAGGGATGTTTTGTTCTTCTTTCCAACTGTTGTAGGATCTCACAATCCACCCTTTTTGGGGCTAGCGTCCTCGCTAGCACACCGCTCAGTGTCTGGCTCTAATCCCATTTGTAACAGTTCAAGCCCACCGCTAGCAGACATTGTCCACTTTAGCCCGTTACGTATCGCTCTCAATCTTATAGTTTTAAAACGTGTCTATTAGAGAGAGATTTCCACACACTTAAAAGAAATATTTTGTTCCTCTCTGCAATCGATGTGGCATCTCACAATCCACCCTTCTTGGATACCAAGGGTCCTTGCTGGCACACCGCTAAGTGTCTGACTCTGATACCATTTGTAACAGCCCAAGCCCACCGCTAACAGATATGTCCGTTTTGGCTTGTTACGTATCACCGTCAACCTCACTGTTTTAATGTTTCATTCTCCTCTCCAACTGATGTGGAATCTCACAATCCACCCCCCTTACGAGCCAGCGTTCTCATTGACACATTGCTGAGTGTCTAGCTCTGATACCATTAGTAACAACCTAAGGCCACTACTAATAGATATTATCTGCTTTAGCTCGTTACGTCTCGTGGTTTGCCTCATGATTTTAAAACATATCTATTAGGGAGAGATTTCTACCCCTTATAAGAAATGCTTATTTCTCTCTTTCTCCTCTTTGGGCGACTTGAGATCTCACATGTATAATGACTCAAATAAAATCATACCCACTAAATGTTAAGACAAATTCAAGTATGCTACCCGATCTAAACTTAGTTCAATTGCTATAGGTTTATTTACTCGATCAAAAGATCAAAGATTCAAATCTTCACTCCAAAGAAAAAACGAAAGAAAATAGATAAGACCCACTTAATATTTTAATATTTTGTGTAATGAAAGGGTTGTTTATAACAAAGAGGGAGAGTTGTCTTAGGTTATGTAGCTGAGAGGACCCTTCATTCAATTATATAAAAGCTAAAAAAAAATGAGTGGAAAACCTTTTCAGGTCAAATAAGGATTCTATTTCCCTTTTACTAAACCTGAATTACAACTCGTACAATATCCACCAATACTAAAACAATATTACACAAACCAAAAAGTACCCAAAATCAATCATTCCAATCTTTTGAAGGCATAAACTAAGCTAAGCTAAGCTAAGGCTAGAGATATGTAACCAAAATTTAGGCACTTTTTATGAACAAAAGCTTCATAATTTTGAGCTGGGTTTTCAACAACATTACTAATTAAGGCATTGTACTTTGGTTTATGGGTGTTTGTGTTCATCTTTTGGTGGGTTTTGAAAGGCCTTTGAAAGCCCTTTCAAGGGCCCTACACTGCACACTGTAGAAGCATGAAAGCAAAAAAAAAAAGAAAGAAAAATTAAAAGGTAAGGTCCCTCCAAAGTACAAATTTTGGGGTCTGAAGCAGTGTTAAAAAGATAGAAAAGTACTATTGAGTATTAGTTTAGGACCACTTTTAGAACGCTGGGAATTGCAGAGGTGAGGCTTACAACTTCATCAATTAACCCAAAAACCCAACTTTTTCTCTCTCTCTCTCTCTTTCTTTAGGGTTTCTCAGTGAAGTACCACAGGAACTCAGGCAAGTTGCAACAAAATGTCAAAAAAGTTCATGTTTTTCTCTGTCAAAGAATTCAAAGGAAAGTAAATACCGAACTTTGAGAACTCTCTTCTTCTTCTTCTTCTTTTTTCTTCCTCTCAGATGCTTAGTAGTTGACTGCACCATCTAATAACTGGCTCACAGAGAGTAGCAGGCATGGTTAAAGCTGTGTGGGGTTCGGGTGGTTTTTACCGTAACTCGTTAGCTTAAACGTGTATGAGATGATATGATATGATATAAGAGTAGGATGTTTTGTGTTCGAACCCTTGTAATGTTGTTTTCATCTTTTGGGTTTTCTTACGGTAACGAACTATGCTCAGGATTTGATATTTAAATTCGACTCATGATAGCTCTCCCCGTACATGTTTTTTAAAAAAAATTTCAAGAGGTCACATAACAGTCCAAGCAGATATCATCGTTAGTTTCATGGTTTTTAAAACGCGTCTATTAGGGAGAGGTTTTCACACCATTGTAAGAAATGCTTCATTCTTATCTCCTACTTAAAATCCACTCCGTTTAGAGACTAGTGTCCTCACTGACATATTACCCACTATCTCGCTTAGATATCATTTGTAACCGTCCAAGCCCACGGCCACTAGTAGATATTGTCTGCTTTGACATGTTACATATCGTCGTTAGCCTCATGGTTTGAAGAGGTTTTTACCCCATTATAAGAAATGTTTCAATACTCTCTCCTACTCAAAATCCACTCCCTTTAGTGTCTTCGCTGACACATTACCCACTATTTCGCTTTGATAGCATTTGTAACCGTTCAAGCTCACCGCTACTAGATATTATCTGTTTGGCATGTTACATATCGTCGTTAGCCTCATAGTTTGGAGAGGTTTTCACATCCTTATAAGAAATGCTTCATTCCTCTCTCCTGCTCAGAATCCACTCCCTTTGGGGAATAGTGTCCTCGTTGACACATTACCCCCTATCTCGCTTTGATACCATTTGTAACAGTCCAAGCCCCACCGCGAGTAGATATTGTCTACTTTGACCCATTATGTATCATCGTCAATCTCACGATTCCCCTCTCCAACCAACGTGAGATCTCACATAGAATTACTTTTTTTGTAATTTTTATATCCTCGGAATTGTTTTCATTCGATCAGAAGTAGAAGAACTTTGATAGGTTTGAAATTTGAAAAAAAGAGATGTGAAGTCAACATCTTGAATTAAAGATGTGGACCAAAGATTGCAGAAAATGAAGTAAATGGAGGGAACATTATTCATGTGAAGCTTGTAAACATAACAACTACCAAATTCAGATACGATATTGGCTGTTCATTTCAGCTCTCACTTTACTGTCAAAACATAAAGGACATGGATTTGTGTGAATGATTCTCTCTTCTTTCTTCCCTTTTTCAACCTTTCATTATTATTTTATGTCATGAAAACAACCACACACATTTACACCCTTCTTCTCCAATTATTTTACCCAACTTTTTTTTTTTTTTAACTCAAAATCGACACCAATTACCATTCCAAAACTCGATACTTTCATGTTCATTTCGTAATTATCGAACATATACAAGTGTTTGTTTAGTCGCTGTTCATATCGATTCTTGTATAAGATTTGAAAATGACAATGGCAAATCATTCCAACCATATCTTCAAAAAAAATGGATGTGAAGTAGATGTGGGTGATGATGAATAAACCATTGATTGTGATATTGTTTTTGATGGACAAAATAATTGTTTCATTCCATCAATCAATTTGTCTTCTTCTTTTCTACTTTTTGTTTCCATTTCA